CCCCCGCTGGCCCCACCCACGGGGCCTGGGGTGCCCCGGGCATCCTGGATGTGGCCGTGCCCTGGTGCCCTGCCCCATCTCCCCATCTCCCCATCACCCTGCTAGAGGGCAAGAAACGACGAGTGGGGAGCCAGGCGCCTTGGCCCTGCTGTTTGCAGGTCAGTTGAACAAACATTTGCTGTTTGTGTGCCAGAGGCAGATTAAATCTTTGCTGGGAGACTGGAACTGGTTGTTCCATTCCTGCACAGCTGATCCCTGTGAAAGCCCTTCCTTCGTCCCCCTCCCGTGCCCGGTGGTGCGGGGGACAGCAGGGAGACATCCCATCCAAGGACAGGCAGCTCGGCTGCTTCCACCTCCGTGATGCTGCAGAGAAGGACAGCAAGGGAGGGGAAAAGGAAAGAGCAAAGACTAAGAAGGGGACGGGGTGGGAAAGCACCCGGCGTGTGAGCGGGGCGGGCTCTGGGGGGACGGAGCCATCCCCCGAGCAGGCTCCGGCACCGTGGAGCTGGGAGACGGGCGCTGCGGCTCCTGGTGGCCGAGCGGCTCCCGCACCAGCAGATCTTCGTGGTCTGCTGAGTCTCTCTCTGCCACAACGGATTATTTCCAGTGGGCTGTCAGCTGCGGCGGCGGGGGCCGTGCCCGGGGGCAGCGCACGGCGGGGACCCAGCACCTGTGCCTGGGAATTGCAGCATCCCCGCTCTCCTCGCCCCACCCGCTGCGGGAGAGGGGAAGAAAGAGGAGAGACAAAGGGAAGGGAGACGAGAGAGATGCTCAGGAATGAGATCTGCACTCTCTGGTTCTCCAGGAGGGCAAAAATCCCTGGCCTGAGCTCCAGACGCGGGGCTGCGGGGAAGGGCTCACAACCCAAAAGTCCGTCTCGCTCGGCTCCCGATGCCCAGGATGAAGGGCAAGCTCCTGTGGTGCTGCAACGCTTCTCCTACGCCCTCAGCCAGCACAGAGCACCCCTACGGCACACAGCACTGCCCCTCCCCACCCTCAGTCTGCCCAGGCTTCTCTTGAAGCTGTGGGAATGTTCAGCCCCTGCAGCAGGGAGTGCCCAGCACCCCACGCAGAGCTTCAGCCTTCGGCCTCCCGAGCCTGCTGGTCCCCATGGATTCTGCTGATGCCCCTCAGCTCTTTGGCTGGAGGACGCAGCACCCACGGTCCCTGTCCAACCTCCAGCAGCACGGTTCACCACCACAGCCCTGCTTCAGCATCTCCTTTCCAGGCTGAAACTGGACATAGGGCCAAACCCTTCCAGAGCTCATCTCCTTCCCTGAGCCACCTCCTGGTCTGCAGCAGCCGTGTGTGGGCAGGGGCTTGCTCTGGGGGGTTTCCTGTACCAGTGCACACCAGCACTGCAGCCCCCTCCACCCCATGCCCACCACTCAGGGGAGGGGGAGACAAAAACACTAATAGAATGCAGCAGTCTGGACCAAAGAGAGGTCTTCTGCAGCGTGTGTGTCCACTGGAGAAGCTCTGCTACTGTGAGCTTGTCCTGATCTGCGTTTGCAGAGCCCCAAGAGCTTTTCTGGCTGGAACAAAGACCTCATCTCTCAAACATCCTCCCTTCCTCGTCGCTGTCCTCCAAGTCCTCCCAACGCTGCGTGTAGGCTGCCAGGGAGCTGCAACGCTCCCATGGAAGTTGGCTGCCCTCAGCCTTCCCCAGATGGCCGTAGGACGTGGCAGGGAGGAAGGGGCTCATGAAGGGCACTGAGGTTCTCCTCTCAGGAGTGCTGGGAGGGACCTTCTGCCTCGCACCTCGTCCTGCAGCTGTGGGCTCCTGTGGCCTCTCCTGAGCTGGCCCTACCCTGGGCAGGCAGGAATTCATCTGCGGCCCCCTGCACGCCCAGCCCCAGCTGCAGGGACAACTCTTCCCTGCACCTACCTCCACCCAGCTACTTCTGGGCTGTCCAGGTCGCTCGTGCTCCTGGGGCTCAGCACCACACCAGGCTGGGTGGGCATTGCTGTTGCCACCCCGGGGAGCATCCTGCCTTGGTGACGGTGCGGGAGGGGGGTGGCTTTCCTCCGGGATGACAAACTAACCCCACAAACCACCACCACTGCCCCTGCTGCCCGTGGGGTTTGATCCCTGTAGCCCCAGGCAGAGCTGGGGCAGGCGGGCGGGCAGCGGGTGGCAGTGGGAAGCCACGATCGATGCAAACCACTTTCCCCTCACTGGATGGTTTTGCCGCGGGGGCTGCGTGGCTATTAGCGGATATCGGGTCCCTTTTTGTTTTCATAGCCTGGGGTGGTGTCATTTGAGCTTTTAAGCATTTATCGGAGGCTGGGATGAGGGCAATTGGCCATGGCAAAGCAGCAGGCGCTCGGCAAGAGGGGGGAAGCCTGGGTGGAGGGACCCAGCAGCTCTGCACCCCCAGAACCTCACCCTATATGGTGGCTGAGGGCTCAACCGCTCCTGTAAAGTGACTGTGAGGCCATCCTGCTGCCTCCACCTTCCGAGGTCCCTCCATCGGTGGCTTTAAAACGATTCCCACCTCCCAGTGTGCCTTCCTCTGGCATGTTTTCAACTATTGCACCAAAATCTCCCCTCTTCCCAGAGGGACATAACGTCTTCAGAAAGGTCTGGAGCTCCCCATCCTCCCCAAACTGCCAACCCTTTCACCTCTGTCCACCCACCACATCTTTGCCTGCAAAATTTGGAGGGATCTGGAGTTTCTGCTTGGGAAAGCTCATGTTCCCTTCACAGGCAGCTTTTGGAGAGGGCCACCTGCAGACACAAGTCCAGCCTGTAGCCCATCCCAAACTCCAGCCCACACATGACACGGCTCCATCTGCGTGAGCACTGCTGCCTTTCAAAGCATGGGCTGTCTGGGGTCACCTGCCCAGCCCTGGAGTGTCCTTCAGGCCAGAGGATGAACTTGCTCCCTGCTGTGTGCCAGAGCCCCAGCACCTTCATGCATACAAGTCTTCCCTAATTTGGGGCCAAAAATCTTCTGCCTTCTGTGGACTTGCTCAAAAGGTGTTTCTGTCTCTGCCCTCTCCTGAGCTCCTCTGCCTCAAGCCTCCATCCCCAAAAAGCAGCTGCCTGCCCCTGAATCTCAACTAGCCTGAAGACTCCCCGGGGCAACCCCGCCATCCTATGAAAAGCCTGTGTGGTGGCAAGCGTTCAGCCGAGTGACAACGGGTTGGAGTCGTCGTCTTCTGCCTGTGACACACACAACACAACTCGCAGGCTCCTTGAGAGATGAGATCAGGCCGTCACAGCCTCCAGGCAACTCTCCAGAGATGCCAGGGTCCTCCACCGCGAGAGGCTTTCCTCCCACAGCCTTTCCTGCCGCAAGCCCTTCAGGCAAAGAGGCAGGTCCTGGTCAGGAGATGTAAGACTGTCTCTCCACATTACATCAACCACCCGCACAAGCTTGTGCCTACACCCCACTACAAGAGTTCCCTGCATCTTCCTCCACCTCCACTTCTACCTGCTAATGGAGCCCCAGGAGACCACAGGCCCCCAGCCGTGGAGTCAGCGGCTCAATGGCCAGCAGACCTCCAAATCGGTGAAGACAACATCAGGCTCCAAATGAGAATGTGCAGCTGGGTAGAGGGGAAAGTGGCTGCGTGCAAGCCAGGAGGGGCAGCAGCGTGGCTGTGCCCAAAGGGACGCAGAGGAGGTGGTGTCCAAGGCTGGCAGGGTGAGTAGGGGAAGAGGGCAAACTTCTGGGGAGGAATGGGGGAGCTCAAGAGGCACATGCAGCTGGAGTAGGAAGGTACAATCCAGCTCTCCAGCATGCTAAAGCCTGTGTCATGGGCTCCTGGAGGTCCAAAGTGGTCTCTCTCCTGTTCCCAGGAGCTGGAAGGGTGCTTGATCCAGCCACCTTCATGCTGGATTCAACATGAAAATTTTCCATAGCTTCTTCCCGTTTCTGTGGCCTCTGA